AAAAAAAAAATGGACGCGATTAATGCCCGGTTTGAAGGCCGACCCCACCCCGCTGCGCTTCTCGTTCTGCATCCATTGCAAGTATCATGGATATGAGCCGAGGATTTGCTTCTTGAAAAGGACATGGAGATTCGGCTTGTGGTGTGTGCGCGCTGCAGTAGCCGTCGATCTCGTCAAGTCGCGATGAGCTAACGCCATCATGAACGACATCGTGAAGGCACCGGTTGAATAGCGCTGCCAAGCCACGACAAGTGCAGCTTCATGCTGTAGGCTGTGTGCGGAGTATCTCCTGCGGTAGGACAGCCACGCGCCCACAAAGGACAGGCAGCTCGGCACTGTCCCCGCGGAGTGGCCCTCGTGTCCACGTCACATTTCGCCGTCAAGCGCCGCCACGATTTGGGTCTCCGCCTTGGTTATTTGGATCGTTTCTCGTCCCAGCGCCGCTGAAAGCTCCTGGAAAAGGCGCGAGTCATCCCTCGCCCCGGCAGCGTCGCCTTGATCTAGCCGAGATGATGACTCGCTTGCTCCATTATCGGTCGTCTGTCCATTCCTTCTCGGTCGGCCCTGACCAGTCCGCGCTTCGTTCCGCAACCGTCTCTCGGCTTCTTCTCCCGCTGCAGTCGTTTGGCGGGATCGTTGGACCCTGTACGGTGAGTGGCAGAAGACGGGCTCGCGTACCGCTCGTCTATCTCCGCCTCCGTTGGAGATCTGTCATGGGCGAACCTCCATCGGTAACGACGTGATGCCTACAGCCGACTAGAACGGTCTTTTCCCGGGCCACAGCGGCGAGCCACATCTTCCGCATGTCCCCTGAATCCTCCTTCGTCCCTGAGTGCTGGGCGGTGTGCTACTTGCGATCTGTGTGTTGTAGCCGTGATCAGCAGCTTCCTTGTATGGGGTTCTATCGGCTTCCTGGAATCCGAGCTGGTTCGGCGAAACGTCGAGGGTATCCAAGCGTCCTTTGTACCAAGGATTCCGAGTCATGCCGCCACGCGTCCGCTTCTGCGATCCGCGCTCATTGACATCACGTTCCGCAGCAGAGAGCCTCTGACTAGGCGCCTTCCAAACATTCACATGTTCTTCCGCAGAGCACATGTCACAAGTTCCCTTGAGCTCCACCCTCCGATCTGCTCCCCGACTCGATCCCGTGGAACCGCGCCCGGCTGCGGAGACCCTAGCCGCACACGTTCGTCGAACCTGAAACACTTTCTTCATGTGCTATATATGTAGCTCCTTTGGTATTGCCGGTCGCTCGTCAAACACTCATTGCTTACTATCGAAGTGTCCCTCACCCCTCACCCTCCTCTTTCTTTCTATAGCACTTCTGAGGACCCGCCAGCCGACGTCTCCCTGCTCGTCACTTTGACGTCGCCACATATCGACCGATCTTGCCATCGCATCCTCCACAGCAAGCGCTGGCAAAATAGGTCAGCGCCGCTGATTTCTACAACCTTGTCGGGCGCCAACATGGAGCTCTCGGTGGACGTTCATTCCACCGACGTGTTTCTGTTCCCCACAAAGCGACAACGCCAGCGATCGTCAGACATCACTACTTCACCCACCGAGTCTGCGCTCGGCTCACTGTCTCCATCCACGGTGATCCCGAATACGGGAGAATCGCCGGCCTACAGCGAGTTGGACGACGGAGATGTCTTCTCGTCGACAAACCTATCGAACGACGACCATGCCGTGCTGTACGCCTACGTCGATATTCGCTTTCCGCTGCCGAGCTCGTCGTCCTTGGCCTCAGCCTCCCGCATTCGCAATCGACTCAAGAGCCTCACACTCACTTTGACAGGGAACGAAAGCATATCGTTCCCGAGCGGCGCATTCGAGATGAATCGCACATTTCACGACGAGAAGTCGATCGACGAAGTGCTCGACCTCGACTACTTTGAGCCGGGGAAGACATACAGATTTGAACGCAGCTTCCTGGTCGATCATAATGCAGCCCCCTTTCAGCGAAGCAGCCTGGGTGCTAACAATCAGAAGCTTGTCGCCAAGGCGACGTTCCACAGCCTCCTTTCCAGGTCGATGACCGCCACGAAAAAGGTCTACTTTGTCGACTGCAAGAGCGATGAAGGCAACGAGATGATCGTTTGGGACAAGGACGTGCGCACGCATGCCGACGGAATCGGACCTTTCAGCCTACGCAACCGCTCCGAGGTCTTCACCGTCGGAGGCTATCTGCGAACCAACTTTGACCTGCTCAGCCCGCTGGATGGTGTTCGGATCGTCGGACTGCGCGCATTTGTCGAGCAACGTGCTACTCTCAGTTCTCGAAGTCAACGTCCGGGATATGTCGAGACGGTAAAGCCGCGGAAGGAGCGATTTCTGGATCTCGACCGTCGCCAGATCGAGGAGCTCTTCCGCACCAAAAAACTTCAGGGCGGAGGCGAAGGCGTGTCGCCCGATGGTGAATGCTACCCGTCGCTGGAAGTCGTCTCGCGTCTTCCGGACGACAAGAAAATCCGACCCTCGACGGTGGACGGGAACGATGCCGCGATCCGCTTTCGCAGCTACATCGACTACGAGATCGACTTTATCGATGGAGAATTCCGACCTCTCGGCAACGAGTCGCCCGAGGCCGACGAGCTCATCTACGTGGATGGGCAGAAGATGAAGCGCTTCCACGTTTCGATCCCGGTCGTACTCAACTCGTGTGCCTGCAGGCCAGACTCGCTCAACCTCCCGTCGTATGCATGCGAGGATCCGATGCCTGTCGCGTGTATCCGCGAGAAGGTAGCTCAGCTGGACGCTCTGCATGACAGGCAGACCGATCCTTCTGCCTTCCCGTGCATTTGCACCTTCACACTGGAATCGCTCCTCGAGGTGGAAAAAAAGTCGCTCGCGCAGAGCCATGACTCGGACGCCGCAAGCAGCCGACGCTCAGCGCCGCTCCTCCATGATTTTGATCCGCTCCCTGCTTACAAAAGGTTCTGAGGTTGTCTGAGCAACCTCTTGTAACGACCAACGATACCCTTCGTGCGCCTCAATGTATACACCTGGTTTCGAGTGCAATCCTTGATCCAATTAACCTCAAAATGCCCGATACGACTACTCCCATAGTGCATCGAGATCGTTCACTCCCTAAACTTGAGTTCTGCAGGACCGTTCACAAGAGAGGGTGGCGGGGACAACAGTGCATAGATTACGGTGTCGGACAGATCTGTAGTGAACGGTGTTTGGCGATCCTTTTGTTTAAAGCCGTGAAAAAAGGACCATCTGTATTTAATGGGTGCCAAAAATTTGGTAAAAATGGCATCGTAACAAATGCAGGTCATACCGGGATTCGAACCCGGGGCAAGAGAATTTTTAAAGGAAAGGCAACGATGCTCGTCGCCTGTTTCAAAATCTCCTAAGTTGACCACTACTCCATACGACCTTGACTCGGGCGGGTGGCTTGGCATAGAGTGTAGATAGTGTTGCCATGCTGCACCAATGAATCTGCAGCTGTTTTGGGTTGTTGGGCTCATTGATCTCGTCCAACTTGCGGAGCCTTACCCCCTCAAGTCGATGGACCGCGAACCTAGCTCGATGATGCCGCCGGGTCTCCCCGGGAGCACTGCACTCTCGCATCAGCGACCGGAAGAAGAGGCGAGGCTCGGCATGTCCATCACCCTCGACGGTGGCCAGTGGCGCTTGAGCCTTGTGGAGCCCCGCTTGGCAGGGAGGCAGCGGCCATAAACGCCGATGGCTCGGTCGAAGCTGATTAGACCTCGTCCATGTGCTTGCGCTGTTGCCACGTTGTCATCAGCGCGAGCGTGTTCGGCAATCTTTGTTCCGTCATTGCGGTGGGCAGCAATGCCTTATGCAAGCCATGTCTCGAGCGTCGTTCGGCGACATGCGGTATACAGGCGATGGTCCCGCAGCAGGTCTGGCAGCGGGCGAGATTGCCGAGACGAGTCTGGAAGCTCGCGTCAGGCCGAGGCAGGCAAGGATCGCCGGCGTGTAAGTGAGCGCAGGCGTGAGTTCGCCGGTCGACGGTGTTTGTTTCTGCAGAGCGGGAAGAGGGTACGGGGTAAGCCGATGGGATCGGCGTGCCAAATGCCCGAGCCCGACCTGCTTTCGACTTCGAATCCCGCGCTCAACGATAGGGGTGTGTATGAACCAATAGAACCAGAACGTGCAAAGCTTGCTGCTCTTCTGCATTGCGAAGCGGATGAGGTGGAAGGTGTCACGCCAGGCGACGGGATGGCGGGGACGAGCCAGGACCAACCGGCTACGCGGACTGCTCCACGAACCGGAGAGCAGATGCCTTGTGCGTGATTCGGAAGCTTTCGGAGGTGGCTGCTCCGAGGGCAGAATTTTGATAGAAAGATGTTAGACCTTCATCACGGGACTTGGGTCGCTTCATGCTCTTCGGCAACGTGGGCCCACGGAGCTTGAAAAGGCGACGAGGTGCGGATGCAACCCGACGTTGGCCATCTACTCAGCAAGCGCATTGAGGAAGGTGACGCGGAGAGAGGCCGAGGTCGGCTACTATCGGTCCAGTGTGCTGCCAATCACGAGCAGGGCTCTCGGCGCGCCGTCTAGATGCTCGCTCCCGCTCTGCTGGCGATGTTTGCACGCTCATTTCACGTATTGCTCGCCTTGCTATCTGGGCGGCGTGTGCGCACGATGTGCTTTGTGGGCTGCGGTGGAGGAACGGCTCGCCGTGTGCTAGTGGCGAGATTTCACACGCTAGTCTGTGTCGCTTGCCGCACTCGCCAAAACCTTGACAGCTGGCTGCACCGCAAGGCTCGTAGCGAAGTGGCGGCTCGGCAGGCGAGGTCTTGCCAAAGGGCCTGATTGTGACATTTTGGAGGGCTTGCGAACATCGATGCGGGGTGCGCTGCCGCAAAGAGGGCCGAGTTTCTCTAGCCTGCATCGACTGACCCCCAGCTGTGCTATTCCCCTGCCTTGGCCGACTGCCTTCACCTCGATCGACTGCAAGACGGGCCAAGCCATGCCGAGGCTGTGCAGAGGTGGCGATGGCTGGCCGCACAGTACCATCGTGCAGACGTGCGCCCCCAACGGGGGCTGCGTGAGGTATGAAGTGCGGCGCGCGATAAGGACTTGGTGCGGGCACGCCATGCAGCGCCACCGTTCGTGCGGCGAGTGGGGATGCGGACGGGTCGCGACCGGGTGTATGCATGCATGTGCAGCCACAGCCTAGCCTCTTCTTCAGACCGGGGGCTGCAAAATTTCCGATCGGCAGCCAGGCACACCACGGCGTGATTTGCAGATGACCGGTCCTGGCTTCCGCGCGGGGTCCAGATGTGGCAAGATTCAATTTATTCTAAATTCTAAAATTTGGAGAAAAAGGAGCACGCTCGGTCGTCGACCTGAGGATACATCTAAAGTCGACGCGCGTCGGCTCGGAGCAAAGCAGCCACGGCCCAACCGGCGTCGCCCAGCTAGCTGCGCATGAAGAGAAGCAGCTGGAAGCGAAAATCGGGGGCCGCTCGCCTCTTCGGTAGATCCGGCGTTCCAGCTTCGGTAGCGCCTGCTGGGTTCTCCCGAGCGAATGGAGGCAAACCATCTGCCGGAGTTGGACCGACATGATACGGTCACTGGATCCCGCCATCGCAGCAGAGTCGGGCCGGTCGACACGCTGGAGAAGCGCCGTGCTCGAGTGTTCTACCGACGACGTCGGCATGCAGAAACAAGCAGACAGTCGCGAAGATTTGCCATGCGAGCCGCGTGTTGCTGTGCATCCTTGATATCCGACCAACGAGCCCATCCTGCTTCGAGAGGTTGCTTGTTCGTGTGTTTCAGCGAGCGGCATCGTCGAGGGTCGTAGCTATTGTTGAGCAAACGCATGAAGGTAGCGAAGCGAGGCAGGATGACAGCTCGACCACGCGCCCCCGTCTTGGCAAGCCACGCAACACCGCTGACCATGCTGCTCGTGCTCGATGGTCGCGACGAAGACGATCGATAGCACCTACGAGGAAAGCGTCGACGAACGGCGCTTGGCACATGGGGCAATGGGTTCGACGACCCGATGCATCACGATGAACTCGGTGTGCACAGCGTGCCACGCGCGCGCTGGTCATCTCGCCAACCAAGCTACAGAGAAGAGATGGTCGAAAGTTTGTGGTCTCGGAGAAGCAGAGCGACGAGTTGCTTGGCGCGACCAATCCAATCCAGTGCTTGCGACTCCAAGGGAACCAAAGTTCAACCGAAGACATTGCGCATGACGATTGCAAAGCCATCGGCCCTTTGCCTGAAGGCGCTGTCGTGCAGCGGGGAGGAGAAAAAAAAAAGCTCCGATGGAACGCGTGGAGGTAGACGGACCGCGAGCGGTCAGCTCGGCTGGGCTGCACCTCATGACGCCGCTTCATCTTGTGACGTTGCCTACTGCTTCACGGTTGTTTTGTGAGTACGTGTGCTTGTGCTTGACATACTGTATTGTATCGATAAAGGATCGGGGTGGTGAGCTGGACCCGACGATCGCACCGCGATATTGGGAAGAGCACACCGGCGAAATGTCGCTGTCACTCGTTCGGCAAGCGAGCCAAGCCATCAGGCGTGCCGCGGCGATACAGTATTATAATAATAAAAGCGAGATGCTGGCACGCATAGCGCCGATGCTGTGGACGACCTGAAGCAAGGCCCGCCCTACAGTAGATCGGCGAAAACCCCCAGGAGGGTGTGCGAGTTTGGAGGAAAGTTTCGCGCGTCAGACTGAAATTGTGGTTGCTCCCCCGCGATTGGCTCGTGGGGTGGGCAGCCGGACGCGGCTCGGATTTCGTGGTAAAGGGTCAAACTTTGCAGCGGGACCGGGCCGAAAGGCTGGGTTGGCGCTGACGCGTGACTTTTGTAAACTTGGATGACCGAATGCGCGGGCTGCGGTGGATCACCTTCGGTCGAATGCACAGACGACGACGACGATAAAACTTTTGGCGTCGGCGCACATAATCCGGTTTCGTATCGAGCTGAACGGACTGTTTCTCGACCGCGCGTGGAAGTGGGCGTCCATTGTTCCTCGACGACTTATCGTACTACTGTATGCTGCTCTAGGCGACTTGACGGGCCGAACATGTTGCAGCGGCCGGAAAGAAGCGGATGCTGATGCGGATGCGGATGCTGCGACAGGCTCGAAAAAATTTCCAATTCCAAAGGCGGCTTGGCTCGGGTGGAAGATGAGCGTCGTCACTTTCCCCCGCCCCCACCTGCCCATCCCACTCGCTGGTCCGCCTCGGCAAATTTCGCCTAGTGCTGTCACTCTGGATTGGATGCGTGCATGCGTCGAGCTGCGTGGTGCGCGACGGAAAAGTTTTCCAAACCCAAACACAGGGAATCGACGCCAGGACCTTGTCGGCGTATACCCCACAGTGGCAGACAGCACTCCGACCGACCGACCGACCGACCGACCGGGCGGGCGATCTCGCCAACCGAGCGCATCCAGACGACATTCCGGTCGCTTTGCTCGTCAGCGATCCTGCCCCTCCGATCCGCCCGTCCGCCTCGCTGACGCTCCCGCTCCCTCGCTCCCTCGTTTTCGAAATGTCGTAAGCGCAGTCGGCCCTTTCGTCCGCAGGTGGGGCAGAGCGGGGGCTTCAGTGGAAGTGCCGACGTTCCATGAAGAGAGCCACGCCAAAGAGTGGGCGCCGCGTGCATCTGGGTTCGAGTGCGGCTTGGCTTGCTTGGCTTGGCTTTGTGGGGCTGGTAAGCGGACCGCATGATAAGCTTGGGTCCCAGCAGCGCCCGACGCAGGTGGGGGAGAAAGAGGGGAGGCGGCAGTGGCGCTGGTGAAAAAACCGATAGCGCGGCTCAGCGAGTCGACGCACGCAACCGGTTCAAGAGCGCCCGCTTCGGCACATTCACGCTCTCGTCTCGCGCTCTGGTCTTGGTCCTGCCTGCCCGCCTCCGTGCCGCTCCGCTCGCTGCCTCCGTTGCAAAGCTCGGCTGCCGCAATTCTTTTTTCCCCCCTCCAATTTCCCTTTTCCCCCTTCCCCCTCTTTGGCCTCTCTCGCCTCTCCGCCTTTGCCCCTCATTTTTTCCTCGGCCCCCCCGAAGAGTGGCTCCAGACCGCAGTCCCCACCGCTTATCGATGCTCAGCAGCCGCCGCCCCCGCCGTTCCTCCCACCTGTCCGTACAACCATTCCATCGCCTTGTCTCCTGCTCACCACCGGCATCAGACTCGCACTCACCACCATCTTCCATCTCGCCATAGCCACCACTGGCCTTGCGTCTCATATCCACATCCCTCGATTCACCCGTACGCATTCCCATCGACTGTACATTCGTTCGTCTCCTTGGCCCAACCCTACGCATTCCGCCCGTGCTGCGCGACCCTGACCATCGAGCGGCTTGACCCAATCACCGCATCCACCCATCCTTGCTGCTGATCTCAACCGTCAGTCGCTTTGACTCGCCCAGTTCGAGTCCCACCCACAGCGCCTCTGGCCTGGTGGCATTTCGCGCTTCCAAAATGGCACAGCCCACCGCTCCCAACATGGCGAATCCAGCCGCCGACGCAGCCACCCTCACCGCCAGCAACTACACCGTGGACAAGTCTCAGATCCCTCGTCCGTACAAGTGTCCGCTCTGCTCGCGCGCCTTCTACCGTCTCGAACACCAGACCCGCCACATTCGCACTCACACCGGCGAGAAGCCCCACGTCTGCACCCATCCTGGATGCGAGAAGCGTTTCAGCCGCTCCGATGAACTCACCCGACACGTGCGCATCCACGCCAATCCCAAAAAGGGTGGCGCCCATGCCGATGACAAGAAGGCAGCCGCACGCAAGTCCGGCTCCAACCCTTCTTCCCCCCACGGCGCTGCTCCCGCCATCGCCTCCGCTTCCTCCAAGCCTGGATCCGCCCACGCCAACAGGTCGTTCCGCTGGCAGCTAGGCGCCGAGGAAGACGCAGAGGACAGCGATTCGGATCGCGAGCTTCGCCACGCCGCTCGCCCCGCCCGCACCGGCGAGATGTCGGCACTCGCCATGCTCGCCAGCGACGAGCTCCACGAACTCCAGCGTGCCGAGCGCGAGGGCCGTCGCTCGGGTCCTCACCCGCCTCATGCCTACCATTCGCACTACGCTCCCGACGCCTACACCGACCGCTACCACGCCCACGGCTCTACTGCCGCCGCCGCCTCCGGTCACACCTCTGCAAGCTACGCCTATCCGCCTCCTCCCGCTTCGTCCGGCGAGAGCACGCCGCCCGGCTGCTCGCACGAGGACTGCCACCGCAAGTACAACGACCGCATCGCCTCGGCAATCCTCGCTCGCCCGGCCCAGAACCGCTACGCCGCCGAGTGTGGCTATTCGCGCCCTTCCCACGCCGGCTACAACGGCAGCCACCCTCCTCCGAGCCTCTACCGCTACTACCAGCACGGCTCGCACCACGGCGCCGGCGGTTGGGCCTCCACCTCTTCCAGCGTGCCTAGCAGCGTCGAACACTCGCCGCGCTTCTCGCCCGACGACCACCTGCACGGCGACGACTACGCCTCCGAGTCGGAGCATGCCGCTTCCCTGCACGACGACGCCAAGCCCCCGCGTCTGCCGCTCGCACCCTCCGGCCCCGCGCCCCTCGCGACGCACAGCAACTCCCACTGGACCCCGAGCAGCAGCCCCGTACTCGGCCCTCTGCGCAACATGAGCCTGCTCGGCGGCAACACCGTCCCCAACAGCCCTTACACTTCGCGTCCCGGCTCCCCCGTCCTCCACAGCCGCCACGCCCACGGCCTCTCGCCGCCGCACCACCATCGCTCCCACGAGGGCCCCGCGCATCAGTCGGGTCTCGGTCACCACGGCTCCCACCGACACCGCTCGCATCCCTACATGGAATCTTCCGCGCGCTCCCGCTCGCATCACCACCTTTCCTCGCTCGGCGCAACTCCCATGCAGCCTAGCTCCTCTTCCCACGCCATCCCCTCCAGCACCTCGGGCGAGCGAAGCACCGCTGTCGAGCTCGACTCCCATGCCAGCGGCTCGGCTTCCACCTCGGCCTCCACTTCGCCTGCGCAGCCCTCGCACATGCCGCCCAAGCTCTCGCGCAGCCACAGCTTTGGCTCGCGAAGCAAAGGCATCCCTTCGCTCAACTCGAGCACCAGCCTTTCGGCCTACCATCTCACGCCTGCGCATCCGCCCGCGGCAGATGCAGAGCGAGGCTCGCGTCGCACCAAGATCGAAGACATCTTGGACGGCGGCATGGGCAGCCTCAAGCCGCATGCCTCGCGCTCGTCTTACCCGCATCTGGTGGCGGATCCGTCCTCGAGGACTCTGCCCCCGCCTTTCCCCGCCAGCGCCTCTCACCGCGACGGCAGTCATCACCCGGTTCCCGGCCACCACCACACGCACGCCTACAACTACCATCCCTACGGCGATCACAAGAAGAGCATGCGCAGCAGCTCACGCTCGGCGCCTGCCAGCCGTTCCGGATCGCCTCACGGCTCGCCTACCTTGCACCCGCTCGCAAGCTTGCCCAATGCACTGTCGTCTCGATCGCATTCGCGACAGAGCTCGATCGGAAACGCCTTTGCCCATCCGGGGAACGGCTTGGTCAGCGCCGAGTCGAGCCCGACTAGCGTCTATTCGCAGATCCCCGGGAGCGCGTCCAACTCGCCTGCAGCGGGCGCTCCTAGCGTTGCGCGCAGCAAAAAGGGGCTAGGCGGGTTTGGCATGACGCCCATTCACTCGGCTCAGCGCGACCGCGAGCATAACACCACGCTGCCCTCGCTCGGTCAGGCGCTCTCGCGCGAGACTTCGCCGATCAGCATGGTGCTCCCGCCGCCGATGAAGCGCATGCCATCGGATGGCGCGCCGGAGGTCGACATGTCGCCCGCCTAAGTCTTGTTTCTCGGCGACGCTCGCAAGTCATACACGCAAGTGGACCGCTGCCTTCTCAATCTCGTGGCACCTTTCGTTTCGTCCTCTCTTGCTCTCAATAGACGCTCGCCCTTTTGTCTTGTCTCCTGTCCTTCTCCTCTCCGCTCTCTATCGGTTCTCTTGTCTTGGGTCCTGATGCTACTTTGCATGTTGCTGAACTCTCTAATCTGTGGTTCTTGGCCATTTTGCCCAATGCACGTGCCTGTCTGAGACTGATGATCAAAGATTAGGAGCGAGATGACCAGAGACTGAACGCTCTCGTTTCGTCACGCGTGAGCAGTTGGTGTAACAAAGCGCTGCCTGCGTCTGTGTGGTCCGGACAAACATTCTCGGAGACCGGGGGCGCGCCGGTGGGCGCGGCCCGGGAAGGCAGAGAAGTGGATGAAAATG